TAATCCCTCGGTAGGACCACCCCCAGCATTTTGGTCAACAGGAGGGGTATCAGCGTTGAGATTCTCATCCGCTTCTGAATCGCTATCTACCTAATTAGTAGCGTTATGACAACTAGATTCACCAATCTGATTTGATAAGGCTTGAATCTGTTGATCATGCAATTCCCTTATCCGTTGCACAGTCATTTTCATTTCAAATTTGAAATTCTCTTTCTGCTTGGCTAGTTCTAGGATTTTGACCATTCGTTCAGCATTGATCATGAACGCCTCACGAGATTGTCCTGTGCTGGAGAGTGTATTGTCGGAAGCGACCACGGAGTTGACGTCTAACATTTCATCCTCCGAGGATAACCCTCTGTTCATCCGTTGATAATCCCTTAGTCTGATAGTTCTGGATCGTAGCCCAGTTATACGCTGGAACACCTATTGAAAAGGATTGGGACTGAAACTTCGCGTTGACTTCCCTTTATCGGCCACGTTGATGGCGACTTTTAGGAGTTCATCTTCTTGAACGGTCGGTCTTCTCTTGCGGAAACGCCTTGGCTTGGGCTTCGATGTTTTAGTGGAGAGTCTTTCAAATATCGAGACCCTCCGTGGAGCAGTCTTGGGCAGCAACATTTTGATAATACTAACTCGATTAACCTCTCACAAGGACAGTAAGAGTTCGATTCTGGGATACTTCTCTTTCGAGATTTCTTCGTACACCCAATCTGATAATACAACTCATCGGCTTTGTGGCCGGAGCAACCTATCAGCTGTTGATTTGATTCCCCAGGTATGACGTGGTCATGTAACAAAAGCCCGTCTCCTTCTGGGTATGTAACGCCTTGTTGGCATTCGTAGGAGTCGCATGTTTAGATCCACCCTCTTGCGAGTGTGGAATCTGAATGGGCTCTTGAACTTCGACACATAACCGCAAGCGCACGGTTATCGGGATTTTCCCTCCATGGGAAGGCTTTGACTTGAAGGGAGTGCGTGTATGACCCCTAGCTTGAATAGCCACTCGGGACTCATACGCCGGACCTAAGCGTTCTTTGATCAGAAGTTTGTCTCGATCCCCGTACAAAGGACCAAGGCGATCCATGACCCAAAGGTACTGGACCAACTTGAACAGGAACGGAAGCGGACATGGAGTCAAAAATGGCTGCGGGAGGCAAGGCAAGTGCCGTCCAGGCTGAACTGGCTCGGCCATGGCGCGGGCCAGCTTAAGGTGGCTCGGCCTTGGAGCTTAAGGTGTCTCGGCCTTGGCCGAGCCACCATTGACTGACTCGCGATTTTCGGGTGTCTAGGCACTTGTCCGAATCGCTGTTTTGGATTTTGGCCTCCATTCTTGGCGTGGTTTTGGTGGTTTCTTGGCCACCTTATCCTCCTTCGTCTCTTGCACGCAAGCGACGCTTTTGGATGCGCTCATCGAGAGTTGAACGAGTCCTTTTGATACGGACCCATTCGCTGGCCGGTGGCTTGGAGGATGGGCCATTTGCTTACCGTTGAGGTGTTTGGCGCTCTCTGAACTTCGGATCCGTGTGATAACGGATCCTGTCAACCGGCTCCAAGGACTTGGCAAGCTGACATGCGAGACATTGGCGTTGATTCTGACGAGCCCTTTTTGTCAAAATTAGCGCGCCTTCGTTAAACAACTCCTGGACTGAGTAGGAGTCGTTGTGATCTGAAATCTCGGCTTCATTAGACACCGGAGGAGCATTGTGAGGGGCTGCCTTAGCAACAATTGTGTGAGAGTCACCTTGAGCCTTCTCTGCTACTGATATCTTCTGTACTTGCGGGACGAGGAAGATCTTGAAGAGGATGAGGAGAGGTGTTCCCCAAACTTGGCCTGGTCGAACTCGTACTCGACCTCTTCTTCAACCGGGATCTTGATCCGTGGTTGCGGCACGACAGTTTCGGCAAAGAGACTGTTGGCTCCCACTATGGTTGCCAGCGTGTTTGCGTCGGAAATTAATTTCTTCATTGTCATTGAATCTGTTACAATCGTTTATCGATTACAAATTTAAAAAAGAGAAAAATTGATCTTTTTATAAGGTCTTCTTGCACAATGAAAAAAGAAACAAATACAATATCCTTAAAACACACTCAATGGACGTTTATCACCCGCTGCTTCGCGTGGGATCTTTGCCTGTGTCGGGAACGCGTTAGTTCGTGGACCGTCGCAGATCAGATCCGGTTGACAGAATGACTATTTAAAGCTCTTACTTCAAAAAGGAAGTAATCGCAGGAGTGATAATCTTGACCAAGCGAGATTACGACTCTTCTCGAGATCAAAACCAAGTTTGATCCGGAAGAAAGGTGAAACGGGCCTTAGATCTTTCGAATAGCTCCATATTTATGCTGAAGTTCGCCAAGATATGCTAACCCTCCTCTGAAATTCGTGCTCCACTCTTCAATTTGACAGCACATCGCCCTCTGATTTCAAATCCTTGCAAATGAAGGCCCTAGGCTTGTATTTATAAGCTTCGGTTGTAGCGTTTTTAGGATAGGAATTGATGATTTAACATCATCCGCATTTAATAATCACTTAACCATGTTTAGGGATAGCTTCAAAACAGTTGGGAGGCTCTGGAACAGAAGAATCCCGTAAAAACCATCAAAAACCATCAAAAACACGTTTTCGGCTTTTCTGGGCGCGAGCCACCTCACGGTGGCTCGGCACTGTGCAAGCCACCATTTGGTGGCTCGCATGTGGCTCGCGCCATGTGCAGCCACCATTTTGGTGGCTCGCATAGTGGCTCGCGCCATGCCGCAGCCACCATTTGGTGGCTCAGCCTTGGGCCGAGTCACTGGCTTTGGCCAAGTCGTTTTAACGCCACTCGGCCACCAGGGGCTTTTCCGGTTCGATCGGGTTAGACTTGTTTCGTCGTTACGCGTATTTCGTCGTTTCGTTGACTTGTACCCTTCACCGATTCGCCTCGTTTGTTTCGTTAACTTGGAGGTGACCGGTGAGCGTGTTGGCCACTTGGAGCTGGCCGGTGAGCGCGCGGGCCACTTGGAGGTAGCTGGTGAACACGCGGGTCACTTGGAGGGTGCTGATGAGTGTGTGGACCACTTGGAGGTGGTCAGTGAGCACGCAGGCCACTGGAGGTGGCTTGTTGCTACGTCAGTGTGGACCACTTGGAGGTGGTCAGTGAGCACGCAGGCCACTGGAGGTGGCTTGTTGCTACGTCATCAACAGTTCGCCGATTCGCTTCATGCGTTTGTCGGCGTCAGATAATCCTCATTGAATCGGATAATAACGTTTATCGTCTTCTTTCCGTCTCGAACTGTGTGCGGGAACCTATAGGCAATTTTTGACGCCTACAATGAAATTGAAACTTTATGCTTTAATTAGAGGTTAACATGTTTTCTATTCCTTCAAACTTTCTAGGTTAACATGTTTTCTATTCCTAATCAATTTTTTTGTAAGTTAAAAGTGTATTAGAAATTTCATAGAAATTTTATATACAAACTAAAAGTTAACAAGTTTTTCCAATCCTTCGAATTTTAGTGTTTTCTTCTGATCTCTCTCTTCATGCATGCATATGGAATTCAGTCGTAAATCATGTAGCATGCATGCATATGTAATTCAACCTATTGTATACGCGTGTGCACAGTGATGCTAGTAGCATTAGCTGCTCGTACAAGTAATAGACATGCAACATTACAAGTTAGAAATATGAAATTATAATTATTTAATAATAAAAAATTATTTTTATAAAAATTATTTTTCAATTAGTAAGCCAAAAGTCTGAAATTGTTGCTAAGACGATGTATCAAAATATAACTATCAACTAAAAAATTATTTCTATAAAAAAAAATATCATTTCTATAAAACTTATTTTTCTAAAAAAATAAATTATTTAGTCATTTTTAAAATATTTTTTATGTTTTGAAAATTCTGTGTTTTTGTAAGCGCATTATTAGAAAACTAAATTTTATTCTCACTTATGAACAAATTATATCAAACATGAGAATGAAAATAAGATTGTCACTCCCGTTTTATTCTCTAAACGCGCTCAAACATGAGAATGAGAATGTGCATTCCAGTCCTATATCTATTCCATTTCATTCTTACATTCTTTTCATTCTCACTTGATTCCATATTCTCGCGTACCAAACGAGGCGTAGATACCATTGCATGATAGAAAATAAGAATGGTTAGCAATTTTTTTTAACTTCCTAGTTACTCTTCAGGATTCAACGGTTATAAACATTCACACGTATACAACACCACATTTCTACAGCTACTAGGTTTTATACACGTGCAATGCACATGGTTAAATACGATAATTAAGTATTTTTAAATTATTTTCTAACTAAAATTTGTTCATCGGTTCAACTTTAATAGTTTATGCTCACTTTTACCTCTAAACTTTAATAATGCGATATTCTTTTTTTTACGTCTGTTTAAATAGGCTACACCCAATTTTAAATTTTCATGTTAATATTTAGATTGATAAAAAATAAATATAATTTAAAACTAATTTAAAATTTTATATTATTTTGACTGACATGATATCAAACTTTACTTAAGAAAGTAAAGTATTACAAAAGTAAAAAATATTAAAATAATGTTATACATACAATGAAGATGAATATTTAAAACCAATAAGATAAAATTATTGGTTAAAAGTATAATAAAACGATACAAAAGAAAATATAAAGTTTGTTCTTAATCATTGATAGACTTCATAAAAAATTATAAATTCTAAAACTTTTTAGGTTTTTTGCAATACTTTACGTATTATAGTACGTTAGCTGCGTATAATTTCTTTATCTTACCAAACTAATACCATGAAAATATTTTATATATTTTATTATATTATTTTTTTTTAAAATTGTTAAACTATAAATAATTCACATATGATTAAGATAGGATATAATTATGATTAGGATAAATTAAGATATAAATAAAATATTTAAGATAGGATATAATTATGATTAGGATAAATTAATATATAAATAAAATATTTAAAACAGTAAAGTATAATATTGGCCATAACAAGATTCTTCCAAGCTTGTACTTTTAAAGGGAGTATGATAATAACAAAAAAAAAGTGGCACCTAGTTTCGCTAACGAACACGCATCAGCCACTAATCTATCAAATATATTACATGACGAGAAACATAGAATTCTGCAAAATTGCATTGCTTTATGCACAAACTACACTACCGTGAATTCAGCCCAAGCTGTAGGCTCAACTCGCTAAGGCTTCCAACCTCAGCAACAATGCCCATATCCTCACCTGCTTGAGGAAACAACTGCAAATATTTATCATCATCATCAAATTCCTCAGAATTTTCACCCTCCATGTCACAGATTTCACCCTCTTCCAGTTCTTCCGGCTCCTTGTAATCAGTTTCACCCTCCATGTCACAGATTTCACCCTCTTCCAGTTCTACCGGCTTCTTATAATCAGTTTTGATCCCTTTCTCGCCTCCTGGACAAATAGATGATGTCTTCGACCTCGGAATCTCATTCGTGAGTTTATTCTCATTCGAGGTGGGATGCTCTAAAACAGAATGTGGAGATGTTGAGTAATCAGGAGATTTTCCATCAAGGGATTCACCCTCTTCGTCTCCTAAATGCTCATTATGTGCCTCCATCCTTTGAATCTCTTCTCGTGCGCCACTTGCCTTTGAAAACTCTTCTTTATCTCTTGAACGCTCATTAGATGCCTTAATCCTCTCAATCTCCTCTTCCGCTTTGTTTGACTTTAAACCCTCTTCTTCATCTCCTGCATACTCAATAGATACCTCCGTCATTTGAATCCCTTCTCTTGCTTCAGTTGGCTTTGGACGAATGTCAGCAGATGAAGTAGATATTAAAGCTTGCCTCCTTCTAAACGCTCCCCAGAGATAGTACTTCCCAAGAAATCCTAAAATGAAATAGTAAAGTATTAGCCTGAAACATTCAGGACTTTAATTTTATCTGAACCTCCAACTAATAGAGAAATCTACATGACGACTTCTGAATTAGCTAGTAGTATAACCTACAAGTTTCCATGTCGGGTGCATGTGAGAGAAAGAGATTGTTAGCTACATGATCTTTCGAAACCAAATAAAACTTAAAACTGAATTGCACTTAAATACCATAAAGTTTCCCAGCTCTGTCACCTTATATAGACAAGTTTTATTTTGTGAGACAAAAATATCATAAGTTGTTAAAAAATTAGAAATGTTTACCATCGATCATGCAAATGTGAAATTTTCACCCGAATATTTCTTTTATAACACTTACATGCTAATTTTAGAGATTTTTAACTATTAATATTTGTTAAATTTGCTACTAAATAAACGTTAAATGGCACTTATACATCAATCAACACTAAATGGCACTTACATATCTTATTGTTTCGCTCTTGTAGCACTTAAATACCCTAAAAGTTACAAAGCATAGCAAAAAAAATACCCTGAGGTGGTAAATGATTGAAGTGTGTTGGCCATGTCAGAAAGAAACTTGATTGGACCAAAATGCCCCTCCCTGGATTTTGGGAGAGGGTTAGGTAAAGTAGTAAATACTACAATGAATGAGGGTAAAAAAAACATTTTCTCACGTGACCAGCATGTGGGAATATTCCAAGGTATATTCTCACCAGCCATATTCTCATGGCTGGCTGGTTAAGTGAAGGGTAGTAACTTGCACAAGTTTACCAACTTGGGGCATTTTTGGCTACTTTTTTTAAATTGCAGTATTTAATTGCTACAAGAGTGAAACGATAAGGTATATAAGTGCCGTTTAACCTTAAATCAATCAAAATTCTTTTTTAATTTTATTTTAATTCTACTTTTAAATAAATTTGGGATGTCTAAAAATAAATTTAATAGAGAGAGGTATAAAATTAACATGTTAGTAACACATGAGAACATTTAGTTGAAAATTTTTACATTTGCATGATCGTGGGTATTATTAACATGCCAATTGTTTAACTACTCATGGTACTTTTCTGCCACAAAATACAACTTGCAATATATAAGTGACAAAAGCCAAGAACCATGTGGTATTTTAAGTGCAATTTAGCCTAAATTTTAATGGTACACAACTGATTGCTCGACTACAATAAGTTTGTGCAACATCAATTGCAATTTGATCATGTTCAGTCATTTCACTTCTTATGGAGGACCATCATGGGTTAGATCCACCTTCACCAAAGTGGTGTCAAGTGACACCACTTTGGTCAAGGAACAACAAGACGTCACCCCAACTTAAAACCACCAAAAAAAACCACTATAAAAGTAGAAAACCCAGTTAGAATGTAAAACTAGGGTACGGGTACGGGACACGGTGAATTTGTAACACTTAGGGTACAAGGACACGGCTATATAATTTACATAAGATCAATATATTATAAGAAATATATGTAAAGTGTAGAATAAACGTCCAATAAGCATATAAGGAGTGATTTTATTTAAGACGTGTATTATATAGTTGAGCATACACCCGAATAACTGTGTTCATATATTCAAGTGTCCCAGAATATTCAGTAATACGGGTATGGGTACGCGTCAGGTACGAGTACAGCTTCATATTAAAGTCCCCAGTTAACAAAGTATAACCCTCAACCCTCACAATGTCTTCAGAGTTTTGGTGTAAGGTTCTGTTGCAAGTGTGGAGACTAACATTGTTTCAGAGCAAACTACCAAATTCAAATCCCAACGGCCAAGAATTTAATGCGGCTTTTAATACACACACACAAATGCTGCAGTGTGAGTCCTGTCTTCGACCCATATAAAGGGCGCTCAACCCGCGGGGCATAAAATATAAAGTATAACTCTGAACCCTCACTATCACTTCAGAGTTTTAGTACAGTTGCCAGGATTTCGACAAACCCCACTAATAAACTAAGTGTGATCATTCACAAAAGATGGTTGAGACTAAAAAACATAAGATTTATGATTTGATGTATTTCCTTTTGAAGATTTGATTCCACCCGTGGCTACGATAATTGTTAAAAGAGTTTTTTAGCGACGTAGTTGATAAAGAGCAAGTTGCAAAGTAGGATGTGTGGTGAATGGTTCAATGATTGCTTAGTGACATAATAGATTGAGAAAGAAAATATTTGACAGTATTATCTACTTTTTTCAAAATATGAAAACTTGTCGGGGAACAATTATAGTTTTTTCTAATTATCAATCATATAGTGGCACCACTTTCATATAATCCAGGATCCACCACTGAGGACTGTAACTTTTTGCTACTCTATAACTAGAACATGCTCCAGCATTCTCTATTTTAATTGAATTAAGGTTTAAAAATCATAAATCTTAAGGCCATGTCTACTCAATTGAAGAAAGTTCTAGTTACCAGAGCAAAAACTTACTGTGGCTGTGTCTGGGTAATATCGTAGAGGAAAAGACGAGCAGCTCAACTTCACCGAGCATACACTTAAATAAAAGATCCTTCTGAATCGCATCATCAACTAGATGATCACACATGGGTTCAATCCTGCAATACAAATGCAATTAGCAAGGCTACAAAAAGAATTAGGTAGCCTGGGCACCAGCCTCAAGGTTAGAGCCTAAGCAGGCTCTAGATAGTTTTCCTTTTTTAGTTAAAATAACTAATAATAATAAATGTCAATATTATAGAAGGCACTAGGCATCGCTAGGCGTTGGATTGGCGGCTACCGCCAAGGTGGATTTCTTGCTTTATTTAAGTAGTGGTGAAGATTTTCTCAAAGTCAGAAGAGGTGGAGAAGCATTCATAGTTAGTGGAGGTCAGAGAATTTCGGAAATTAGAAAACATAAAGGCTGCTGCCGAGGAAAATATGACCAGAGCCTAGGCCGTGAAGTCCACATAAGCGCTCCTAAAATTTAGGTGGCAGGCCCAGGTACCCCTAGGCCTAGTTGGGAAGCCTAAGCAGGCTATGCGCAAGCTTTTAAAAACATTGGCAGTTAGACAGAAAAATTATTAATTACGTTTCTAACAAGGAGATAGGATTAGAACCAGCCAGGCGTACATTTTGCCTCCCGGTAAGAAATAGAGACCAATTTTTTCATCAGTTGGAGGAGAATTCTTGAAACTACTAGGACAAAATTCAAGCCTTGAAAGCCTTTCCATGTGAAGAACTGATGGCAATAGCTTCGCAGCGCGATATACCCTTTGACATGCCATACTTGACAAATGTGCTGTTAATGGACCATATTTGTCATCTCCAAAAGATATATATCCCCTGTCATTAAAAGATAAAATAGTGAGAAACAGTTCGCATCAAATTACATTACACAATGCTCAAGGATACCCACCTCCATACATGACCAGCAATGGGTTGTGCAATTGAATAAAGATGTTCATTTGATTGACCATGTCGGACCTTTTCTAGCACTGTTGCTTCAGAAGTACATACTTCTTCATGCGTAACAATCCGAGACCCAATTGTGATTTCATCGGAGGAAACAGTGTGTTGTAATGGAGGTGAAGCCAAATTTTGTTCAGATGATAGCTCGGCAGCTTTCTTGGTTGGAGAATGATTATCTTGGACCTTTTCCTGCACTGCAGCTTCAGAAGTTGATGTTTTACGTGCATCAATCTGAGACCCAATTGTTACTTCATCACAGAAGACTGTGTGCAATGGTGATGAAGCCAATACTTGCTCAGACGGTAGCTCTGAAGCTTTCTTGGTTTGAGCATGACCAGCACAATCATCTTGGACCTCTTCTTGCACTGTAGGTTCAGAAGTAGAAGTTTTATGTGCAAGAATCCGTGACCCAATTGTGACTTCATCAGAAGAAACAGTGGGCAATGGTGGTGAAGCCAAAATTTGTCCAGATGGTAATTTTGTAGCTTCCTCGGTTAGAACTTGATCAGGTTGAAGTTTCTGGTCAAGGGAGTCCTCATCTGCTAAAATCAATCTTCGTCGTTTTGATTTCCTACCTTCGCCCTCATCTGGAGATGTATACAGACTGACTTCCCTCACAATCTGCAACAGAATCAAGAAACAAACCCGTAACTTCTCATGCACCTCTTACTGTATGAGACTCTAAAATTTTCTTCAGGACTTCAAACCAATTTACCGTATTATTCTCTGTGTAAGGAACGAACTTGCCACGACTAGACTTCTGTCTTTTATTTTGAGAGCTCAGATTACTGTCAGAATGTATCTGCTGTTCAATGTGTTCAGAATCATCATTGGTTATGTTGAAAGATCTAGGTCTACATAGTTCACAAATCCAACCACTTTTCTCGACTATTGGAAATTCAGTAAGGCAATATCTGGAAATTTCAAAGCAAATATTAACAAAAAGGAATACATTAAAAGGCATATACTAGCTCAAGAACCTCTAAGGTGATAGTATACACCTAGTTAAATTAAATGCAGAAATGAACAACATACATATGCTCAACAGAAGTTCTGCACTCCCTGCAACGAAGAAAGAGCTGGGGGTAACCAGTAACGCCACATTTGTGACAAATAGGTGGCTGCCAGAAAAAAAAATTCAAATAACTGTGATAAGTGCCTACATATTAATCTTATTTCTGTAGAAATTGCAGTAAATATCTTAACAAACTAATAAAAAAAATGAAAGACACTAAAATAGAGAGTCGATCAATAAGAAATTTAAAATGTAAATGTATTGAATTTTAGTATTTTACGTAATATAAAGCTAATCCAAGGAAGCATATACTGGTAGTACAATGTTAAATAACCAGCTTCTATAACATGACACAATATGCTCATTGCTCACTAGTTTTTAAGCAGTGGTACAGCAGAAATGCAGATGCATCTGAACAGTCGAATTATTTGAAGACTAGGTAACAAACTCCAAGAGACTCCATTGCAATCTAAATAACGTAGAAGGATGATTACGGCCGAAAACTTATGAAAACTAAGAATCGCAGAGATGTACTCATCTCGTACAAGCTTCTAACCCAATTACTTTTCAAATTTGATATGGATGGATCTCTAATTCTATTGAAGTTACTTTCCTGTTTTATAAGCTAGTAATTTCTATGTAAGAGCAAAAGTTTGTTCCATGTAGACGACAGAATCACAACACTAAGAGAAATTGAGAATTTAGATTTTTTTTTTCTCATTCCCAGAAGACTTTTATCTATTTTGAACCATGTGGATACTCAAATTGATGACCAATGCCATCCATCTTGTTCAGTATGCAACCAAACTCTCCTTAGATGAACTTGGAAAGTTCAGATGGATCAAACTAGTCTAATGTGCTAATCTTTCAGATTAAGTAAAAGTCTTCCATACTGTCATAACTGAGTGATTTAAACTAATCAAATTTTTATTCGCATAGATCATGTAGTTTGAAAATCAAGATGCAAGATACCCATAGTCAAATTAGGTAAGTAATTGAACCATCTCATAATAAGAATCTCATTTCACCATCTCATTGTAGTATAGGAAGAATGGATAAAAAGTAGAGTTCATTTTTCCAAACGAGCTACCAAGATATGGACAAGTGGTATCATTTTCTGGAACATCCCGACCAGCTGTAACTAGTGGCATAGTTGTTTTAAACATCCCCACTAGGTGAGACTAGCAGTATCATTGCTTTGAACATCCCGACCAGGGGCACCACCTTCAAGGAAGGTGTCATGTGACCACCTTCCTCCAGGAACACAAACCGGCCAATTGGCCTTACTAACCCAGCCCTATATCCAATTACCCACTAGAACTTACAAGGGCGGATGGAAATGGTAAACTATTTCCTCTCGCAAAATGAAATTATCAGTCTTGTTCTCCGTGATACCCACATTTAATTGTTCCATGACAGGTTGTAAAAAAGTAATGGGCTTATAATATTGGTCATTGGAATAAAGTGCAACAATAGCTAGTCATCTTTGAGAGTGATTTAAGCCAAACAAAATTTTGCAATCAGTGATTCTTTTTACAAATCCTAGATCCAACACAGATCCCCGACATAGCTGATATATCATCTGGTGTCTTTTTACAAAGCTTGCTGCAAAAAGATAAAGGTATCATGTAATTTACAACTTTTAGCAATTTTTGAGTGATATATCATGATATTTCCAATGTACTAAATGACATTTCAGCCTAAAAATCAGCCAAAATGTTGCATTTACATAAATAACCAGCAAAATGGTCCAATTCAGGTCTACATCCAGACAAATATTTTCTTTTGTAAATAGCAATAAACAAGAACTAGGGCTAAAGAATTGAGACCAAATTCTTTTGCAAAAGCTTTGAAAAAGGCCACCTTTCTCCACAATATTATGTGGTCCATTGAATATGAGTATCTATGGTACATGCAAACATTATCTGATATGAAACTCCGATATTTATAAACGGTGGGTTTGGATACAAAAGAAGATAGGGGAGGGGAAAGGGAGGGGGTGCAATAGAACTAATTGTTTTTGGGGACACAACGAGGAGAGAAGGGTATGCTATGATTTGTGTTTGTTTAAAGTATAGGAAGGGAGGTAAACTATATGAAAAATATGACTTAATTCTAGGGATAATCTTGCAATTTATAAATCACTTAAAACTCAACTCCTCCGTCCCAATACATCCACTAAGGAGGGTAAAGAAAGTGAAGGAATTTGCTTCTTTTTAACCATTACCTATGTTGCATGGGTACGGTTACGGATACCAGTACAAGAATGGGACACGGTAAATTTGTAAAAGGCAGGTACGGGGACACAGCTACATAAATATATATACATACAGATTATATATTGGAATTAATAATTTGCATTAGGTTATTAGTGTTTTCGTTCACATGTTATGAGAATTTAAATCTCTATAACCTTTCTATAACATCTTTATGTTCCTTTTATTATGCGGATTGTAAGTTGGAAAATTGCTACTTTTTAAACTAGACATCCAAATGATCCTTTAAAATCATAATTCGGAACCTAACCTATGTCCAACAAGTTTCAAGAAGTGGATGTGATGTGTAGAATATATGATCAAAAAAATGTAAGGCAAGTCTTTTAATTTAGAACTTGTATCGTATAATTAAGTGGATGCCCGAATAAATGTATGCATATATGCAAGAAGTGTCCAAGGAGTTGGGGTACGGATACGGGTCAGGTACGTGTCGGGTATAGGTACATCACTTAGAGGTACCCAAGTAACATAGACCCTTACAACCCTTCCCCTCACTAAAAACATAAACACACAATTTAAGATAGTTAACATTGTAACCTTCTCAACTACTCCCCTCCCCTCTTAAATAAAAGCTATCAAACCCACCATAAATATCTCAAGTATATCCTTGCTATTTTCCATCCAATTTGAAACTACTATGTTTGACATGTCTCAACAACTATTAGTTAGAACACTAGCGACGATGTCTGTCCCACAAGTCACATTCAGCCTCGTAATCTATTCTCTTGGTAACTCATTAACTAAATAAGGAGATGGGTCTATGAATAAGCCCTAAAATGGATATGAACAGTGTTTTCAAAGGCCTGCGCCCTCGCTGCGCCTCATGCGTCGTACGATGCGGGATGGTGGCGAAGTGCCCCACTTCTGATGCAGCAGTGGCTTTTGCGGCTTGCGTACATCCTTACTTTGTGCAGAATGCATATAGTATATATCCCCATATAGTTTTGTTTGTTAACGTTTCAATTGAGTCTTTATGCTTGATATTTCATATCCCAAAAAAGCAAAATAAATCCATTAGGCTTTTTTAGTAGCCTTCAATTGAGGATCATTACTAATCATTTGCTTATATATTAGTCTTGATTTAACATTTTATCTGAAATTTTATGAATTTTGCTCCTATGTTGGGTGTAAGCATTAGAAATTAAGGCATTATATTGTGATTTTGTGGTAAGATACTATTTATCATGACATTTTTCATGTGAATTCTAAAAACATGTTCTTTCGCGCTTGATTATATATTTTGAAAATTTATGTGGCCGATGTGCGCCTCGCATCACTCGGGCGCGCGTATCGTGTTGTGTCTAGCACATGTGTAAGTAAAGATCATTTGCGCCCCACATTGTACCTCGCGCATTGATAACACTGGATATGATGATAGTAACTCACTTTAGTAAATGGCTACAGAAAGAAAAAGGCAACTCGTGAGGTCCTTCCACTACTCATATAGAAGTCGATTAGAGGTGCAAACAAATTAGAATATAATACAAATATGATATTATAGTCATATGAGCTTACCAATCACGGATACAGATGTGTGTATGTCTCAATACGGAAAACTCATATATCCATATCCGCCAAATCAAATACGGATACTTATCAAATAAGAGAATATATATGGATACAAAAGGGATTCAAAGAAAATATATAAGGTTGAAACATATATAGGTCATGTGATAAAAAAAGTGCATTAACATATTCAACTAATATGAAAAGCTAAGATCAAATTTTTGGGTTATTAAAACTAACCTGACCATCATCTACCGATCCAAATAATTGCACTTGTGTGATTGACAAATATTCAAATATACACTATATGTTTGTATTTGTATTTATATCCTATCAGATATTGATATTTAGTTTTAATATTCCTAGCCTAACGGATAGGATTATGTCCTTACACCCCTAAAGTAGATGGACCTCACCACTTCAATAGATTGACAACTCAATTTTGGTGATAAGGTGAAAGTTTAAACTTAATATCCACATACATATACGTAGAGTTAAGCCAGGCTATTATTACTAGTATCAATATGCTGATATCACCAACACAATTTTGAAATTTGGAATAAAAAATAAAAAATTCAACCTGGTAGATGAGATCTGCTACATTTTAATTTTTTAGAGTCAAATTTTCAAAGATTATAACGAATCATAAAACAATGGATGAAAAATTAAGCAACTTTGTCAAAATTCTGAAATATTGATGTTGATGAAATATTATACACAGATTAATAATGTTGAAATTTTTTAAATCTTAATTTATAGATAGTTCATGTAGAGTATAGCACTATCTATCAGTTTGAATTTTCATTTTTGGATTCTGAAATTTATAGATAGTTCATATGTAGTAGGCAATATCTATCAGATTGAATTCTTATCTTTGGGTTCTAAATTTAACAAATAATATTTATAAATGTTTAATTTTTTTTATATACTTACATGTGCATAAATTATTTGTCATCATCAAAAAGGGGGAGAATGTTGGATATCATGTCCCCAAAATATAGTTTTGATGATAACAATTTATTCACTATGTGTATTATTGTGCACTAACATATCAATACAAAGATCAACTTCAAATAAACTCAAGATATGTGAACAAAAGTGCAACATGAGCTCAAGGCAATATGAAGTAAAGAAGATGAAGTGCATAAACGTCATAATGTAATTTTCATATTTTTTTTACTTAGATTTATTGTACAAGCTTTGTTCACTCACAACACATACACACATAGAGTTTAGAACACACTAACACATGCTTAGTGTGTGATTAACAATAAAAATTTTCTATGTTAAACATTAGAGTTTATAGTTAAAGAATGAGTCTCAA